TATTTTAATATAATAATAAATTATATAAAAATATGCCTATTTAGAGGCAATAATTGCACCAACCATCAACACGATATTAGTGCCTATAAAACGAAAATGCCGATCTAGTGCCATATATTATTTATAAAAAGATCCTACAATTTATTATATATTTGACAAACCTATATGTTATTTTCTCCCCAAAATCAATTTTTTTCACACAACGCCTTTTTGGAAGAGAATGGAGAATGTTTCGCCTGATTTGGATTCTCGATGCATTCCAATCTTTGCGATGTTTTCGGAGCTTTCATGGGGACACTATCATCTAGAATTAGAATTGTTAGCTGCGATTTTCTCATTCCACTTCTGGAATGATATTGTTCTTGGAAGGTTCACGGTTCATTTTGATGATGATGCAGTAAGATCTATTTTAATCAATGGTATTGCGCAAGGCCAAGTTGCCCTCGCTTTGATGGACCTTCAATTAAAATTTGAATCTGAACAACCGTCGCAATTCTGAATTGCGAGAATTCCCACTCAATACAACGTTAACGATTTTCCCTCTCGTTTTGCTGAACACCCCTTCCTTCGAACAGAGATATGTGTATCTTCAGATGCTAATAGAATTTTCTTTGATTTTGTATATAAGTGACGCGCAATTTTGGGGTCAACCTCAATTTAATGGGGCAGGAGGTGGTCAGGTCCCAACATCCGCATGAAAAGGTCGAACTTGCAATTTTTATTTGCTACCAAACGAAACGTAATAAATCCAATTCAAAAAAAAACATATTTTTGGGGCAAGAACAAAAATGCAATTAAACGAAACATCACTTTTGGCCGCTCTCAAATGGCATTTTTTCGAGCTTGAGGTTGGAAAAAATACATGTTTAGGTTTTAAAAAACATCCAACTCACAGGCTATTGGAGAGGACCTGGAAGCGGGACCTATTTTTCTGTTTGTTTTCCCATCTTGCAAAAATATTAACAGGTTCAAAAAAACAAAAATTTCACAACAATACAATCACAAAAAATTGATAGATTCAAAATCTTTAGGATCTATGGAGGTTTTGTGGAGGATATCAATATTTTATATTTTTTAGTTTATCAAGAAATTTGCAATTTTTTTGTCTATGCCACCTTGCAAAAATATGGCAGATTCAACAAAAATGAAAATATTATTCCCCAGAATCCCCATAGATCCTAAATATTTTGATTATTTGGATTTTTATTGCATCTGGCAATATATTGGAATTATATATATTTAAAATTATTGATTTGATTGAATCTGCCAGGGAATTTGCAATATCATGTGCAACAAAGATTACAAATTCTTCAGCAAATTCCAATAAATAATAATAGAATTTTTTATTAAATATATATTTAATTAAATTGAAGAGGATATTAATTTAGTTATTTGATCAGATATCATATATATATATATATATTGCAGATTCACATTTTTAATATCTTCCATCTCCCCTAAAAATATATATATATTATATATTTATTAAATTATATATTTATTAAGATAAATTAAAATAAGAATAATATAATAAAATCGAATTTAATATTATCATTTAAATATATTTCAAATATATATTATTAATATAAATATAATCTATATTTGTATATATAAAATATATTCTTTATATAATCGAATATAACAATATATAGTATTTATATAAATATAATTTAAATATATTATCCAAGAAAATCTATCGAGATTCTATTATCATAGATCTTAATTTTTATAAAATAATATATAATTATAATTCATATTAATTTTATTTAGACTAATTTTAAATTTATATAAAATAATATTTAAAGAATAATATATATCAAATTAATTCTAAATATATTTAATCTATATTAATTTTATTAAATATATAATCTTTATTAAAATCATTCGAATATATATATTAAATAATTCTAAATATTTAGAAATAAATTATTTATATGTAATTATCATTCAAATATATTATTCTACCTTAGAATTTAAAAATATTTCTTCTAACAAAAATTAAAATGCTTCAATATTAAGAATTATATAAATTTAAATTAATTTATAAATATAAATTATTTCATTTATTCCCTAAATAAACATATATATTAATATTATATCTATAAATATATATTTATTAAATATAAATATATTAATAATATCATCCCAAAATACAACAAATCCATCATAATATATATATATATATATCCCCCATATACCGATAAATCAATATATATTAAATATGTTTATATGTATAAATTGTTAATGTTATAAATTTTTATAGATATTTGAGTATATTGTAATTGGTTATTAATAAATATTGAAATATCTAAATATAATATTTATGATTTTCTACAATCATATATATATATATATTTAATATATTTTGAAAATATATATATATATAAATAATGTATTATTTCCGATGCATGCGGTCTTTATGTAAAATTCAATCTTGAATATAATGATGATGTCCAGATATTTACCTCCATTGAGAGAAATCAATGATGAAAAAAGAATGCATCAATACAATTTCAATTTACAAATTGTTCTTCCAATACGTGCCTTCAGTGGGCGATACCAACTATTTGGTCGGCCTGACCCACACCGACTCCTGACCAAAGTGTTTGCTGTTTGTAAAGTTGCATGAAAAGCATTAAAAATCACAAAAGGTCAAACAAACATCATAACAATCACAAAAAAGGGTGGCGTTTGTGCTCCTGCGTCTTGTAGTTCCAATAGTAAGGAGTCTTGTGCTCTTCGGACCATTGCTTCTCCCAAAAGGGCGGCAAAGGAGGCTCTTTGGCAACAGCATTCCTGGGTCACGGCAGCAACAGATCCAAGACAGGCGTTTTCTCAATTTGTACCCGGGAAGGGGGGAGGCCGCGGATAGAAGAGGTAAGCTAGTTAGTAGCTCTATTCGATATTGGACGCTCCTATCTAGGACGCAGGACACCTCACACTATTCCTTTGGTTCGTAGATTTTGTTGGAAAAAGCTTGCTTCAATTTCCGCTGAGCAAGGCCTTGTCACCGGTCTGGCTTTCGGGATGACCACCTCGCAAAGTGAGGGCTAGCACTTGAAAAGAGAAACGGAACCGGACATCGAGGAACACAATCAAACAAATTTGTCTCAGTCCCTTTCCATCTTTCTTTGCCTTTTCTCCCTATCTGTCTCTTGCAGTCCTTCCCTCTCCAGCACAAGCTGAATAGCCAGAAACCTCCGGCCTTTGGCTTCACTGTGCCCTTTGCGGCGCCTTTGGCGGCGCCTTTGGCAGCGCCTGCGGATGAGCCTTTGATCGCACCCTTGATCACACCCTTGGTGCCTCTTGGAGTATCTTCGAAAGTGCATTGGCTGGCCCCAAGGCCACTCTGATCTTCCTCAGGCAGGTTTTTCCTGTGGAGGCCATCGCGTTCTTCGGTTGGAGGCCATCGCGTTCTTCGGTTGGAGGCCATTGCTATTAATTGCTGTTAAAGTTATATAACCTAATGCAACTGCACAAAGCATTTTGCGATGCACTGAGTGCGGCGCATAGAGAGAGAATGATACTCTGCAGCCTTCCGTGGGCACTTTTCCTCCAAGATCATTCTTGTGTAGGAAGATCTTACCACCATGTTTGCCGGCAGACGGATGGTCTATTGCTTCGTCAGGCTCAATCCAACCATAGTTTCCAAGCCATCTGCCGACAACACCTGCTTGCTGCCCTTGCAGCTCAGTGCGGTCTCCTTTCTTTGACTCATGCCTTTCTGTGCCTTTCCATCCTTTCCCTAGTCCTTTCCCTCCTTTTCCCTTTGCCTTTGCTGCATCCTTTCCCGTTTCCTTGCCCTTGCCACTGCTTGGGTCAGGCTTCAGGTGGGTCTTGATCACAGGCCCACCCCCACCCGGCTTGGCCTTTGGAAGAACCAGTTTCGCCTTCGCACCCGGCTTCATGAACGTAGCTGTAGCTGCTGTAGCTGCTGTAGCTGCTGTAGCTCCCTTGATGATCACTTGCCTCACTGGCGCTGGCACTGCCTTGGCCTTCGGTCTCACGATGATCGACTTGGAGGTGGCCGCGGCGGCCAAGGCCTGTCCAACACTTCCTTTTGGAGGATTTGCAGGTGGCTTCACCTTTGGCACCGGGCGACAGAACTCCGCACACAAGCGACCGCCGGCAGTCTTTTCGGCATAAACTAAGAAATCCACAGCTGTTCCTGGCGTCAAGTTCTGTCCTGCAGCCACATCTTGCTTCTTCACCAAGACCTCTCCACGATTCTTCAGCTTGAAGGGATGATCAATCGGCTTGTCAGGTCGAACCCATCCCTCAGAGTCTTTCCATCTTAAAACCTTCCCAGTGATTCGCCCACATTTCACTTTGAGCCGAGGCGACACCGAGGAGCCTTTCATCACCCGAGTCTTTCCAGCCCGCGCGATGACCTGCGGCCCGAGCGCTCGAGCCAAAGAACTCCAGATTCCGGGCCCAACATTAACGAAGATGTGCAAACATGTGTCAACTACCACGGGAGCGACGCTACGTTCGGGGCTCCTGGCCTTACTGGTAACAAGAAAGCAGAATCAAGCTAAGTGTGTTTACATTTATAGTTTGCATCAAGATTTGTCAATGCTTCGTCCCCAACAAAACACTTGAGACTTCTTTCTCCTGGCATTGGCAATCTCTCCGGCCAAGATCTTGGAATACAGGCGATACAGGCAGCGCAAAATCACCAGCATCAGCGGTGACTAGCAAGTGTGTGAAAGCTTGGTGAAACATCGCATGATGCCTTCCTTGCTCTACTTCCACGGGCCACTTAGCCAGCGTGCCTCTTTTGACGTCAGCTCTCTGACGGGCTCTGTGCTTGACACAATCTCAAAACTGATCTTGTTCCAAACGGGTTATGTGCTTTGTGGTGTGTGTGTGTATAAACAAAAGGCAAATGCCTTCGACATCAAAGGCAGCTTTCGGCGCAAGAGGCCATCAACTAGCATTCGCTCTGCGGCAACTTGGACGCTGGTCGCGTCGGGTTGGAATTCGCATCTCGCGTTGCGTCAAATCTCGTGGCTGTTGGAACTTCGGCTCTGAGTCTTCGCGGCTTCAGCGATCCGGCGCTGCACCGCTTGTTGCTGAACCTGAGGAAAACGCCAGCACACAAATCCGCGACGCTCGTGCGACGTCTGCAGTGTTCGGATCGTTCGCTGGGTCTCCGCGAAACCCTTTCGCACCGAAGTACGTCGCGGTGTTTGTCCGGACATTCACGGAGCGAGTGCGACCTCCGTTCGAGTGCGAGTGCGACATCCGTTCGGCCTCCTCCCACGGAAGTGCGACGTCATAGGTCAGGGTGTTGTCTGCACCATTGATGATATTGTGGCCCCTGTCCTGGGCGGTGCTTCGCTCGGAGGCATGCAGTGCACGCGTTTCTGGTCGTTTCTGGTCGTTTCTTGTGTGGTCAGCACTGATTTCTAGTCAGCAGAGTAAGGCATGGACACGAACATCATGGCCTCAGTTCAAGTGAGCACTTAAACAAGGTTGGAGACCATCGCTAGTAACTGCTAGTAGGTTGGAGGCCATGGCCTCCTTAGCCATGCAGCACGCGGAGCAAAACGCAGTGCTTAAGGTGGCCACTCCGGAGTGCAGCTGCCCGCTCTGGATCCCAAGTCTTAGCAAAGGTCAAACCAATATTTATCTAACTTGCTGTTCTTTTCATTTCAAAAACTGTCACGTTCTGTTGTATTTTGGGCTTTCATGTGCTACGTTACCTTTCGGAAACTTTCTTTTAGATCTTGGTTCTTTAACTTGCTTGTAGCTGCCACGTCTTGCAAGTGCCGAAGCACATCAATAACCACTGTTGGCCGATCTTTGACCGTAGCAGCTGCCCACGCTCCCCTTCTCTAGGGCACCGGCCGGTGAATATTTGGGGAACAAGCGCGAATGTGTGTCCAGAAATCGAAAGGGATGCTGCTCCGGGTCGATACACTTCCTCTGGATGCAAATGTCCTGTCTTACGGTGCCAGGCATGTGGCAGGGGACTTCAGAGACCGAAATCAAACGACTAAATATCAACGTTGCAGGCGAAGCCACACACTGACACTCAAAAACATCGAAAACAATTGAAACAAAAATATAAGAACATACTAAACCAACGCTGATGTGTGAGCGCGTGTTGGCACCAAGACCTAGATCCGTCCTTTGAACGCTCCAAGCCAGGATCGGAACCAAAATCCCGCATGGCTACCGCATCATCTGAGTAGGTTTTGTCTTGAAGAACCGTAAAGCGATTCTCAGCGTTCACGGCTTTTCGTTGAGCCTGCAGAAAGAACAGCAAAGCTCAGCCAAGCTAAGCTCGGCGAAAGCTGTTTCAACTGGTACACTCTGACCTCCCTGCCTGTGCTGCGTGGTGCTCGAAGCGATCCCGATACAGAAGGGTATCTGGATGTGTAGGACCATCAATGCCAAGAATTCCCTCAGCTTGCGCGGCATCAGCAATTCCGCGTGCAAGAGACTTGAGACAATCAGAGATTGTTTTTCAAGCGGAGTCATCTGAGATCAGTGCTTCTTGATGCTTTCGCTCGAGAACGTTCATTCGCTTCCGGTAGCGGAAAACGGCATCGCGCTCTTCCCGCCACTTTTTCTCGCCGGCTTTCATCTTCAAATGCTCCTTGTAGCGTTCGGAGGGGAGCATCAAGCTGTGGTTTTGGTACCTGGGTCAACATGCTTCCGCTGAAGACAGGGTGACTGCTATTTGATGTCCATCTTGAGACGTCATGATAGTAGCGAACATTGTTTCTGCGTTCCCTTCTTGTTACTACTAGTAAGGCACCTGTTACTACTAGTAAGGCACTTGTTACTACTAGTAAGGCACTTGTTACTACTAGTAAGGCACCTGTACCTACTAGTAAGGCACTTGTTACTAGTAGCTTCTTGTTACTACTAGTAAGGCACCTGTTACTACTAGTAAGGCACTTGTTATTAGTAGCTTCTTGTTACTACTAGTAAGGCACCTGTTACTACTAGTAAGGCACTTGTTACTAGTAGCTTCTTGTTACTACTAGTAAGGCACCTGTTACTACTAGTAAGGCACTTGTTACTAGTAGCTTCTTGTTACTACTAGTAAGGCACCTGTTACTACTAGTAAGGCACCTGTTGCTACTAGTAAGGCACTTGTTACTAGTAGCTTCTTGTTACTACTAGTAAGGCACCTGTTACTACTAGTAAGGCACCTGTTCCTACTAGTAAGGCACTTGTTTCTAGTAGCTTCTTGTTGCTACTAGTAAGGCACTTGTTACTAATAGCGATGCACTTGTTACTAGTATCATGTTTTTCCTCCAAAGTCATCCAAGTCTTCCGTTCCCGGGTTCCCGGGTTCTAATGTCTGTCTCTCGTCGTCTGATCGTGTAGCGCACATTTTGATGAAGGAGTCATCCACTTCCGGAGGCGGAGCTGGAATCTCAAAGGTTCCTTCTCGAGGATCTCCTCGAGGATCCATGATGGGATTGGGCAGCACCGACATATCAAGCGCACCTTGCTCCTGGAAAGTTCAATTGGTCTTGAGATGTATGCAGTTGCTTTTTCATAAACTCGATCTAGAGTTTAGTTCTTATACCAGCAAAGGTGGGAGTAATTGCTAACTTCTGCCATCTTTGTGCCCATGGTCCCACAGGGGTTCCCATTGCTATCAGGTTGGAGGCCATTACAGTTAGGTTCCCATTGCTAGTAGGTTGGAATCCTTTAATAAACTTTACGATTCCCCGCAAACTAAAGGATTCCAAACTATGGGAATCAATCCTTTAGTAGGTCGTTGAATCAACCAATGTTTGCTTCGCAAACTGCTTCACATGGGTTCATGCCGCCGATGTGCGGCGGGTTCCGCGCTGCCACCGACTCGGACGACTCCGAGGCCGCGCTGGGCTCCTTCATGGGTCTGACGACCCGCGCTTCGCTCACAAAGCTGACCGAAGGCCGAATCTGACCATACGTTGCCTTACTACTGGGAGCAACGGGCATCGCTACTAGGAACAAGTGCATCGCTTCTAGTAACAAGTGCCTTACTAGTAGTAACAAGAAGCTACGAACGGAGCAAAGGGCATCGCTACGTTCGGGGCTCCTGGCCTTACTACTAGGAGGGCCATTGCTATTGGCTAGTAGGTTGGAGGCTACGTTGGAGGCCATTACTGTTAGGTTGGAAATGTTCACCCCCACGTTCCGCGCCTCAAAACCAAAACGTTCCAATGAGTTTCACAAGAACTGGCCATGGTTGTGCTACCCCAGGTCATGTCGAGGGCCCAAGTCTCGCATCTGCTTTTCCAACACAGGATCACACATTCCATGAAGGATGTGTTTTGCGCTTTGGGGTCGTCTTCTTCCGAGGTCGTGACCATCTTTCGAATGAACCGATCACCTTGCGTAGGCGCCTGTGCGGCCATCAGTGTCAAGTGGCACACACAAACGGTCACAAACGTGTCGAGCTGCGAATTGCCATTCCCCATTCCACTGCAAATGGCCTCCAACCTACTACTAGCGATGGCCTCCAACCTGGCCTCCAAGAAAAGCATGCCTACAGCGGTTTTCCAACTCTCCAATCCTGCCTCTGCATGTTGATAGGAAGGATCTGTAGACTTCAAGAAGGAATCTAAGCGCACTGTGGGATGGGCACCACGAGAGGCACCCAATGCGAGACCACCGACCTGAAGTGGACCACCCAATGTTGTGGTCTTACGGAGCTTCCTTCATTCTTGAGCCTTTTTCGAGGTTTCTTTCCTGCTGTAGACCTTAAGGCCTTTAGACCTTCATTCTTTCTGGAGGCCATCGCTATTAGGTTGGAGGCCATCGCTACTTGGCTGGAGGCCATCGCTGGGTTGGAGGCCAGCTACTAGGTTGGAGGCCCAGGTTGGAGGCCATCGCTAGAAGGCTGGAGGCCATCACTGGTAGGCTGGAGGCCTTGGCTAGTAGATGGAGGCCATCGCTACTAGGTCTACTAGGTTGGAGGCCATTGCTATTAGGTTGGAGGCCATTGCTATCAGGTTGGAGGCCATAGCGGCCATCGCTACTAGGGTGGATGTTTCTTTTACATTCTTTCTGTCAAGGAGTCTTATGGAGTCTTGGACTGTGTCAAGGAGTCCTTGAGGTCTTACAGGTTGGACTCCCAATCCCGTGTGACAAAGTCATCAAACTGTTGGTGCTGCGGCAGTGAAAATGCTCCTAGTAGCTTCTTGTTACTAGTAACTAGTAGTACGGCCAGGAGCCCCTAGTAGCGTCCTTGCTATGACAATGACATGAACTCAAATTCGCTTTCCCGGTACAGTAATTAACTCTCCCGAAGTTGATACATCAAGCTTTGGAGAGTTCAGGATCCGACTGAAGCAGCTTGTGAGGAAGCAGAAGCCATTCTCGCACCTCGTTGGGGCATGGCACAGGGTTTGGGCGATGGCTTGGCTTAAGCCGTCGCTGAACCCGGCGCGCAGCCCGAAACAGTTGGCCCGTTCGTTCGAGCCCAAAGATTTCTGCCATCGTCAGCCGTCAGCTGTGTTCGACAAAAAAGTGAACAGACTGAAGCCTGAAATCAGTTGTGCAATCTGTCCATTGCTTGCTATGTGGCTCAGTGAGCAAGAGCTGCTGCTGCTTGAAGGAATAACATTGAATTTAACAGGTCGCCTTTTTTCCGCGAGCTTATCTGTGCTATTGGCGGGGTTCAGCCTGCCTTATGTCTTAGAAGTTCTGCCTGAAGGCTGAAAAATGTGCGTGTGCAAAAGTAAAACACGCAAAACTTGCAGCTGAAAAGAAAGATGCAAGAAAGGAAGAAACACATCATAGTGAGCAAGTGCAAAGGCTGCTGGGATGACAGCCTTCCACCGCCAATATTTCTCTCGGATACGGTCAATCTCCTGTAAAAACACTTCGAAGTCTCTTTGCAGGAGCGCTCTGCCTAGAAAATTGAAAGCAAAAAGAGGCTATGTTGCCTAATGTTTCCTACTCTGCTGCTGTTTCTACTGTCGTTCCTCCTCCGTCGGCTGCTGTTGCTCACTACGGCCCTATTCCACCTCCACTTCCACCTCCTACTTCTACTCCTACTCTTGCCCCTGCTACTGGTACGTTGTCCCACTACTGACCACCAAGCTGCTTTCACAATAAGTTTCTGAGAGAGGTCTTCGGTCTTGTCATTCCACAAGATCTGTTTGTCACACGAATACTGCAGAATGCGCTTGCCCGGCTTCCCCACGTAAACGTCAGTCCTGCAAATGCTCGTACTGGGCCACTGCTGCTGTGACATCGCCTTTGGCCTGCGTAACACGTGCGTCCAGATTACACCAAATCTGTCAAAAAAACATCTGCCTACATTGAAAACAATTGGCAAGATTGGCAACACTTGGGAGCTTCAAGAATAGAGCCACTGTCCTGCTCATTCCTTTTGACATCTCTTGGTCAATCTGGACTGCTGCTTGGCCTCTAAAATGTCGGCGAGAGCTTGTGACGCAAAGCGGCACGAGGTGTGCTGCTGCTCAGCAACATCCAGAACCTGCCAACCAATGGCCGCAACATCGCTCTTAGGTTGGAGGCCGTTGCTAGTAGGTTGGAGGCCGTTGCTAGTAGGTTTGGGGCCATCGCTTCTAGGTTGGAGGCCATCGCTTCTAGGTTGGAGGCCATCCCTAGAGGTTGGAGGCAGTTCCTTCTAGGTTGGGGGCCATCGCTTCTAGGTTGGGGGGCCATGCGTCTAGGTTGGGGGCCATCGCTCTTAGGTTGGAGACAATCGCTAGGTTGAAGGCCATTGCTTCTAAGTTGGGAGGCCTTCGCTTCTAGGTGGGGGGCCATTGCTTCTAGGTTGGGGTCCATCGCTTCTAGGTTGGGGGGGCCATTGCTTCTAGGTTGGGGGCCATTGCTTCTAGGTTGGAGGCCATCGCTAGTAGGCTGGAGACCATCGCTTCTAGGTTGAAGGCCATGGCTTGTAGGTTGGAGGCCATCGCTAGTAGGTTGGAGGCCATCGCAAGTAGGTTGGAGGCCATCAATACGAGGTTGGAGGCCATCGCTTGTAGATTGGAGCCACCGGATCTTAAAGGAGTTTGGTGTGTTTTGACTACAATTGTGCTAACGGCTGTGGCAACAAACATTAGCGAGATCCACCTCACGGCAAAGTGTTTCCACTTCTGGAACTGAGGTCCACGACACCTCAGTAATTGACCGGCGATGCAGCAGAACGATGCAACAAATTGACCCAACTAATTCAAAGTCCCCCTGCCATTTCCCAGGTTGCAAAGCATGCATGCCTGTGGTGATGCGTGTGGGTACTGCACATTGAGGATCAAACCTTTCCATCACCCTCGCCAAGGAAGGCGGACAAATAGTTCCACGCGCACTCATTGTTCGCACATTTTCGGATGGATTCCAATGCAAAGTTGATCTCCCGCGTCCGCACTGTATCGGTCAGTGGCCAAGTTTGATTGCGGACCACGGTGAACCTGCCAGTTTTGTTTTAAAACCTCACAGTATTCACAAATGTTTGCGAAAAACAAACCACAGAAACCCGGCCTGTGGTTCCATGCTGAATTGTTGCGAATGTCCTCTCTCAAAAGCTGCTCCACAAAAGGAAGTTCTTCATGCCACAGCTTGAACTGCTGCAAGATAAATTGACGATGAGACCTAGCTGTGGCAGGGTTGAACACGATTTGTCTACCCCTTTTCACTGCAAATCCTCAAACACTTTGGACCAGGACCCGGGCCACCCATTGTAGTTTTTGTAGTCATTGTTTACCTGCATGCAATCCTCGGGGACAGCACACAGCATCAATATGCAGAGCCCACGCATTCAGTACGCGCCGCTGCGGGGCAGCTGTGAAACCAAGTAAACATGTGTATGCGTGTGTGCCTTATGTTTCTGTTTTGCTCAAATGTTTGGGCATTTCCCTTTGTCTTGAGCCACATTTCCAGTGCAGTCATGAAACTAAGTGGTATTGTAGCTCTTCTCTTGCCATTGACTGGATCGCCTTCTCCGCCTCTTCTGGGCTGAGTTCTGCTCGCTTGCGCGCTGAGATCTCTGAAATCAACCATCTTCTGTGATACCACACCTGCCAAGTGCAAACTGCCAGTGTCACGATGTGCCACACCGCTCTTTCACTAGAAAAATTCGTTTGGTAGTGCCTGGTAGTTTTTGGGGCAGTCTCTGGCCCACTTGTCTGTGAAAATGCGTTCGTCATCGAGTTCAATGGCAAGATCCTGCAACAATGACGTGGCAAACATTGCAAGTTTTGAAGGTTCAGTAATGAACTGTTCCTTCAAGCACCGTCGGCGATAATACCATGCTGTATAATTCGCAGAGTTGTGCTGGATCACATCAGCTGTGAGTTGCAAGGCCCTCTTGCTGGTTTCATTCTTCTGTTGGATCGCGCGGAAGTAACCATGCACCTGACAAGCACACGTGCAAATGAAAACAAGATCCGAACTTGGCGCGCCTCCTCAAAGCCAGGTGGGTAGCGGATAACCTCCAGCATTGCAGTTTCAATGCCCCCAAAAAATAAAGCGCTCGGCCGCCAACAAGCACACAAGCACCGGACCGCCAAGGGATGTGGCCCATCATTTTGTGGCACTGGGGTCACATCCTGGGCATGGCAACCCGTTTGTCGATTGGTATTGGGGCATTGGCATCCGAGTCTTAGCTGGTTCATGCTGTTTCCCTGTCCTTCCAATCCTCGCGTTCACTGTATGGAACATCGCCATCATCAGCATACATGCGATCCAACTGCGAGTGGGGTTACTGCACTCACTTGAGCCCTCGGTGCAACAACTACACGAACACACACGTCAAGGAGTGCATCATGAAAAAAAACAAATTGGTTGCAATACAAGGCCCTCATCTGTGTTCGCCCTGCTGCTATGAACGTGCCGAACGGAGCATGGAACAACAATTGTGTTCGCAATCAATCAATTAGAAAAATATAGGAAAAAAGGCCGGCCAATAACTCAGGTTGCATATGGTTGCATCCTCGGCATCCTTTAACTTGATCACCGTGGGGGAAAAAACACCTATCTAGAATACCAACCTTGCCGATGAAGAGCTTCGTTGCGCCGAAGCGCCCATGACCTATGAGCGCCTATGAGAGCAGGCCAGGAACACAACCACGCTAATCTCAGCACGGCACTTTGCAAAATCGGATTCCCAAACAAACCCTCGTTCAGGCAGAAACCACAAAAGTTCAAGCCGCTGAACCTTTGTCATTGATGCACCCAACCTCCATCAGGATGATTTTGGAGGTGCCTTGAATTGTACGCACGGGCGTCTTGCCACGACGCCAGGACACTGCGCGCTGGCATGCCCTAGCAAAACGAATGCTGCAAACCAATGTTTATATTTAGAAAAATTGCGTCAATGTCACATGAGTCCCGCGAATGGAAGCATGTGGCATGCCCAAGCTGGCGCACAGAATGCGTTTCACACGCCTGACATTTTGCTTCCGTTGGGTCCACGTGGTCCACGCGCCGCTTCCCAGCCGACCAGCCGTCTCAAGGACATGTGCCGGCAAAACCCTGGAAACTATTCCTTGGCAAAACACGAGTGCCGCGAACAAGTATCCACACAGGTTGCTTATGGATCTGGCAGGGCTGTTGAGCCAGAGCCCAATAAAGTTGCGCGCGCACACACTAGTGCCTGGGATGCACAAGGAGCAGCGGCCGCCGGAATCAGATCTTGATTGAGCGGCCCTCACCACGGGAAGTGTCATTCATCGGAAATTCACGATTCCGGGGAATGTTGGGCAAGTTAATTATATATTTTGAAGATGCGTTCGCAAAAACACGTCGCTGCAATCTTGAGGCCGCTTGTTGGGCCCTGCGACTATAGAATGTTTAGGCGGGCGCGGGCGATACAAACAGTTTCCGGCAGGCCTGGAAGGTTTTTCAATGATCATTTTACATATGTCCGACATATGTGTCAGTGGGACACGACATGTTGCGCCAAGCATCGGCCGATTTAGTGTTCCACAGGTTGGACGTGGAATGTGCCAAAAAAATGCATCCTATCTTAGAACGACACGGCCTGGCAATGGCCATTGTTCGTTCACGTGTGTCACGTGTGTCACAAGGCACTGCTGGTGACAACTGTTTTTCCTCGCGCCTTTTCTCTGCCGCATGTCCAGCTGGAGCGGGCATGTCCTTATTTTTCCTCAATCTTGTGTTTACCGCGTCTCTGAGGGGGTGAAACGAATCTCTGCTTTGTAACTGGCCAGGGTCGAGCTGTGCTCGGTCCAGAGTGGTGGATGGTGGCAAGCGACTGGGCATAGGGAACCCGTCTCTGTAGGAAGTCAAGACATCACAGAGCGGGGGGCAGGGCCCGTCCACGGTGGAGGCGGACGCAGGGAGTCCCGCCACGGGCTCGCGGAGGGGCAGGCGGCTACGGCTTAGGGCCGGGGAGGGCACCGCCCTTGCACACGTAACCCTGTGCGCTTGCATGATACCGAACACGCAAAGTTGCTGGCGCCGAATGTTGTCAACACAAACGTCCTTGCCCGGAAGGGGGCTCACCGTCTGGACTTCTTGGGGATTCGGCTGCTCATTTTTCGGTAGGACACTTGCTGCCAGCCGGCTGAGACTAACACAGCCGAGGCTAGGGGAGAGACCGAAGATCAGAGCCCAAAGGAGAGAAAAACAAAAAACGACGACAGGTGTGACCATTATGATTATGTCTATTTTGGCAAGCGCGGCCGCCGTGATGGCCATGACAACCAGGACTAGACACGCGGCTGGCAGGTAACACCACGACCACGGACAATCCCCACCGCCGTAGGATGCAAAATCCGCGCCGTGACACAGGACGGCTACAACGACACGACAGCTACTAGTCCGAAAACTGCCATTACCACTGCCACTGCCCCAGAGAGGACCAGGAGGGCTGATTACAACCACACCACGACGACGACGACGCCGACTACGACTACGACTACGACTACTACTACTACTACTACTACTACCACAACATACCACAACTACTACTACTACAACTGCAACTACAACTTCGAGGACGACAAGGACGACTACTTCTATTCCCACTTCGAATCTTACTCCCAATTCTACGTGTACTTCTACTACCACGAC